AAAAACCCCCACCACCCTGTAGGTTTCACCTATTCTAAAACTTAAAACGTTTTTAAGCCTTTTAGAAAGCAGACATCTCTAATCTGGTACCTTGCAGTGCCTTGGACTACTTCTCCCACCGTATCTAGCCGGCATGTTGGCTATGACTATAGGAGTTGCAGTCCAAAGCATCTGGAGGGCAGAAGGTTGGGGAAGGAGGTTGGGAAACTTGGCAAATCATTAGCTACTGCTGACACTATAGAATGAGGAATACAAGTTGGACCATGCATTGGCCAAAAATTAAAATATCGTGGAGGCCTTCCTGAATTATTTAAAGCAACTGTTTCATAGAACAAGTTCAGAGTTAGAAAGAATAGCCAGATTCTAAACCTGGCTTCTCCTTGTCCACAGTAAGGAACAATAGCAACTTTGGATGGTATTGTGATAATGCATGAAAACAGTTTTAAGCCAAGCATTATTGGATTGGCTATCAAATAAAACCATGTTTTTCATAAGTTCTCCATTTCAAAGGAAGGCTGTGATTTTAACTCCATGTCCCCAAAGAATTTTATAGACTGTTGTCCTGAGAATTGATACAGTAGCTAAATATAGCTTCTTCTTCTTTTTTTTTCCCCCTCTCAATTGGCTATCACAGGAAGCTGGAGGCTAACCCATTGGGCGAATGTCCTGCAGTAGTTGAGAGAAAAGCACCTAACTTGATTGTGAGAATCAGTTATTAGCAAGAGGGCTGAAGAAAGTTCAGGAGAGGGGAGACCACCAGTTGACAGAGGAGGAAGTGCTGCGTGTTGCTGATGGGGAAGTTCCCCTCCCATGGTCATTTGTCCTTCCTGTTGACTTAACTGGACCTTTAAGAATGCCATTCCTCTCAGGCAGTAGAGGACATTCTTCATGATTGGTGACTGTTCTGCGGGAAGTGCTAGTCTCACTTAAACACTTTTATTCGGTGCAAATCGTTTCTGCGTTTGTAAAAAGTGTTTGTAACTTAGTTTACCACTGCAAGTATTGGTTTTATAATATATTCCATTAACCTGGTCAAAATTTGATAACCAAGAAACAACCTAGTAGATTTAAGAATACGCCTGCTGGTAAATATGGAGCAGCAAATGAGAGAACACTAATTTCTCCAAACGTTACCTTACCTTCACTAGCAGCTGGGAGTTTAAAAGTAGGATTCTTTATACAGTTGAAGTTGAATGGTATGTCTGCCCGTTTTCAGTTCTTAAAAGTTAAACAATGGCAACTGTAAAAATACAAGAAATGGAAGATAGTTATTATTTAAAAATTAAAAAAATGTTCTTTATTATAGCAATATCAAGTTGCAGAAGTCTTTTTTTGAAACAAACTGTTAAACCAATTCCATTGAATTTGGTTAAAATTTATATAAGGAAGGTTAGGCAACCACTAGGCCAGAGCTGATAAGGTAATGTGAGAGTTATTAAGAATTAGAAACAGTCCAGTTAATTGGATTGTATGTAATCATAAAATAACACTTTTCTGAAACCTCAATATGTTAGCAATAATACTTAAGAAGTTTAAGGTGAAAAGCATTTTCATTCATACTCTTCTGTATTTAATTTTATTTATAGACTTTAAATTAGGTTCTGAGTCAAATTAACAGGTTGTCTCTTGTTTAGCAGTATTTTCCATGGTTTTGATTCCCATGGACATAAATGAACAATGATTTTGGGGTGGAAAATCATTGTTGATGCCTGAGCTCATAAACTAATTATCTGTGCTGTACAAATATTAAGGTAGAAACAGGACTTCTTGTTGGTGAAAAATATAGCATGCAACTTAACTTTGGGAACCAATTGTCATGGCACCAATAATGGAAACTATTATATCTCTGGGCTATTTGACAAGTAGAGTAGTCCTCAGCCAACACCAGAAAAATCTATTAGAGCTATTTGTAAAGAACTCCAGGAATGATATTCTAATGTGTGCAGAAGTGCTGAATATTATTTGGTCCTTCTGGAATATGAACTGATCAAAAATAGGCATTCTTGTCATAATGATGTGCTACCCTTTCATGAGCAGCTAATAGATGTTCTATCAAATGCAGCCTTTTAGACATGATGTAGCACAACAGATAGTTAAATTCTATAAATAGTTCTTTTCGATTCCAGAATGTTGTCAAGATTGCAGTTGCACATTGCAACATAAGAAATTTGTCAAAATGCACATTATAAACCAAAGCGGCATTTGAACGAAACATTCAGCTGTAATTTGACTGGGACCCTTGTACTCCCCTCTCTTCTTCTTGATTGGTCATTGAAGAGACGATTGAAAACTTTTGCTTTTTTTTTCCCAGCTAGCCACAATTTTTCACTATATTCTTACTGTACAAACCAGGCTTGTCTGGGCAAGCCAACTTTAGACTGTAATTTATAATTCTGAACTTCGGGGATAAAAGTTAGAGTTAGAGCTAATGAAAAGTCCTAGTTATTCAAAAGCAATGGTTGCTTGAAATCAGAAGCATACACTTTTGATCTTTTTGTGACCGTCAAGGAGGAGAGAAGCAGAGTAGCCAGGTACAGACCAGTCATTGGGATTAGCACTGCATCTGAATGAAGAGATTATTTTGTCTGTTTACATACAATCTTAGAACTTCTTTTAGAGATAGCAACTTCGTACACATTAGCTGTTTTCAACTTTTCAAGCCACAGATGTGCACCAGCACAACAAATTCAGGTTTAGTGGATTCACTGTTTGTCTTCTGTTATCTGATAGTACATTCTAATACGATTCTGTTACATTCCCATGAAATCAAAACTGTAGTGATCATTCACAAGTGTTCCAATGGATCGTTCATCCACAAAGGTGTTGCATGCCTTCTTGTGCCTTAATGACAAAAATCTGCAATAAATCTGAGTAGACTGTTCACAACTAGTATTAGGATGGGACATATATGTTCATGCTGAATGGTGTTATATTCAAGCCCACTGTTAAAAAAGTTTCATTAGCCTCATGTTCCTAATTATTTCCGAGAGTACATTTAATTTATCTGTAGTGATTAATAGTATTATTTTTTAAAAAAAAGTTTTGCGCAGAATTGTTTTCAACTTCTGTAAATCCTGAGGAAAGGAAAACTTGAGGTGGTCCTTTTATATAGAAAGCATGGTGTAATGTTTTTTCTCCTGTTGTTTGATGAGCCAAAGTTTACTTCTTCAGTGAGTATGTAATAAAGTCATTCTGTTTTGGCAACTTTTCTTCTATGTTGATCTTTCATTAAAGATGGCTATTTGAACAAGCACATCAAGGTTTTCTTCATGCCACTGATTGCAGTGCTACTTTGACCATTATCTTTGACCATTATCTAATATGGTCTGAGCATTCTCCTTTCTCTATCCAGAGTAAAGAAATAATAGGGTAAACCGGTGTTTCTCAACCTTGACAACTTTAAGATGTGTGGACTTCAACTCCCAGAATTCCCCAGCCAGCATGCAGAACAGCAGAAATGCTGTTGGCTTCAGTGGGTTAGATCTAAATATGACAAAATCTGTATCCAAGTTTTTGTATTCCTAGGAATGTTAATTAGGAAAGGAGAGAATTGAGATAATGGAATTATCTCATAAAGTTACAATACTAACTGCTAATGCAGACAGTATTTGTGACTGTTTCTTTAACCTAGGTTATTTATTATAAACTAGAGATTATATGAACCAGAAAGTTATCAGATGAAAACAAAGCTACACTTTACCATGCATGATGGCAGACTTTGGCAATAGTATTTTATTCCTTTACTGAACAAAAGGATAGGTGACAGACTTAGAGGATTAACAGTCAAGCTAATTCTGTTGTATCATAGGGGTGCCAACCAAAATCGATCTTCTATTTTTCTTTGTCTCATTTTGGAGAATAAAAGGTTCCTTTTTCCTCCCCACTCATTGTTTATCTGAAGGAGATGAATAGTTATATTCTTTATATCTTTATAATTCATTTAAATTACCCATTCACAGATTGTATTACATTTGGATTATTTTCCACTAAATCAGTTTAACTGCAATATTTAAGTTAAATATAAGTGAAGTTAAAGATTTTGTACCATAGAATTTGAGGTACTGTATTACCACTTTCTTTGCATCTGTGAAGAAAACAGTCCATTTAGGGGGACTGCAAAACTGTCCTAATTCTTGCATCCATAACATGTCTAAATCCTTAGAATTAAATCCAAAGAGCATTGCTTCCAAGTTACCCTAACAAATTACTCTGGGATGTTGGACACCAGCACTAATCTCTATGGGAAGCCATTGGCTGTGTGAGTGCAAGGAACCCAGTTCTGTATGCACAAGTGTTTGTGTACCTATCTAGAGGATTTTTAGACATTTCCTGCATCAAAAACATACAGAAGAGGAGCAGCTGTTGAGTTTACATTCAGTTATCATCTTAAAAGAATTTGAAAATAATCTGCAGGTATTTCAACGTGGTTCGGTTAGGCCTACCTTGAATGTTTTCAGCCTTTTCTCACATGTCCCTTTAAGATTTGGTCTTTTCCCCACTCCCCCCACTTGCTTTGTTTCCATTTTAACTTGTATAAGCTTATGGAAAACTGAAAAGTTTGAATCAGCTACATCCAAGGGAAGTGTCAAAAAGTCCAGATGACGTTTGCAGCAACATCTTCAAAGCCCTCTTCAACCCCCCTTCCCTGGAGCTCTCTAATAAAAATACTGCCCCAGAATGAATGTTGATATTTTTAAGGCCATCTCATACTTGTTTTAAAGATGAATTTGTAGTGATTGTTTAGTTGTAAGAATGTGATAAATATCTAATTTTGCTGTTCATTTGATAGTGAAAATACTAGGGGTGGTGGAATTTCTTATAGTAGCTGAGTGAATACATGAACATCAGATTCTGCATTCAGATGGATTGATTTGTGAGTTAAGTACTAGCTTGATGGCTTTCACCTTAACGCATCTTTTTGCAACAGCTGGTGAGAGGAAATTATTTCAAGCTCTGATGTTCTTTAAAAAGCATTTTTCTTTTCCTTTTGTCTTCCATAGAGTTTACAGATGTTGCCTCAACAACGAAAGGCCATTGCAAAATTTAAGGAACCTGCTGATGCTTTAAAATTTCAACAGAAGTTTCACAGGTAAGTATTATGCATAGGCTTTCTCATATATGAACTATTTTAGTCTTCCTCAACGTCTCTCAATGTTAGATGTATTGTATTACAAATCTCATTATCCCTAACCAATCTGGTGAAAAAGAAACATTATAGCTCAACATAGCAATCGGGGACACTAAATTCTTTTCAACCAATTCATTTTACAAAGACCTTTTATCTTCTTGAGATTAGAGAACTGTTTAACTTAGACCTAATTCAGCTGTAGCAGTGGTAGCTGATCAGACTAAAAGTAAGCCTTGAATCCATGTGTTCAATTCTTTGTTTCTCTATGTCTCAGTACACCTTTTTTCAACATTGATGTCTTTCTTTAAGCTACAGTTTTCCATAGCATTGGGAACAACAACTGTCATTTAATGTATAGTGTACAAATCAGGATATCAAACGATGTTTTCTATCATTTATAAACAGAATGTAAAGTGGATTCAAGTTCTGGTAGCTATGGTATAACAAGCCAATGTCTCAGTGAAAAAATGGGGTGCTTGACTAAATAGTCAATGAAACAACCCAATCTTTTCAGTTTGATAACCACTGGCTTATAAAACATGGCTGCATGACTCCCAAGTTGTGGGAGAGTTCCTTAATGCATTTAAAAAATATGTCTACCTTCAATCATTGTGCGTTCATCTTTTTTCCAGGCACATGATAGATCTCTCCCATATCAACGTGGCACTGATAGTGGAGTGACCTACTGAGCATAAGTTGTCTTAAAATAAAGCAGGTTATGGAGGAAGTCAGAAGGGTAGAATCTCCCTGTAATTTCTGGTGCCAGCTTTGCAGACTCCTTCTGAAACTTCAAATTACTCTGTGACAACTGCTGACAGCAACAGCCTTGCTACAAATGGAAGTTGAATTTCAAGACTGAAAAAGATCTGTCTTGATTTTCTTTTACTGTATTGAACATACAGAACTACAGATCTCATGTGTGAATAGTGTACACGGATGTTTCCAGGTGATATACTGTGTGATCACAATGACTTGGATCGAAAGAACATTGACTCTTGAAAAGATTTTTTTTAACGTTTCTTCTTAGAAAAGAATATTTGATAATGGTTGCCCTTATCTTCAATGTGGGGTGTTGAAATCAGAATGCACCCATAATCTATTGTTTGTAGCTAAGCATATAGATGCCTATAATATAGAATAAAAGTTGAGCTCTGTAATTTGTTGATTTTTTGCCAAGAGCTCTGAAGCTCATTCTTGAAAGCTCTTATTCCTAGTAAGATGAATATAGTTCGTTGTGCATAAAGTCTCGCTCAGTATTCCCAGCATTCTTTTCTTACCAACATTACTTTGGACAAATAGTCTCACCAGTCTGATGGCCTTACACAAGAAGGATTCTTATTCACGTTCCGGATTCTTGGAAAGACATGTCTTTTAGCTTTCTCTTGTGCTTTCTTAGAGTGCTTGAATGGCCAGGAATTAACTGGTGGTGAGAATGGGTACACATTCAGGTCCAGGAGATCCATTTTGGGTAGGCTTGTTGGGAAGTGAGTCACTGGTGTTAAGTTTCATATTTATTTTTTCTGTGTAATGATTGGCAGTAATGCTTGATAATGGTAGAGTCTGCCAAATTGCACTCCAGCACTGTTCCCATGCCACCAGGTGAATTATGAGGACATTTCCTCTCTGAGATGTGGGCTAATATAAGAATATGTGCAGACTTTAGGGAAGTTCTGTTTTTATACTAAATAAGCTCTTTCCGCCAGAGAAAGGCGCTTGTTCCCTGTTTCCTTTAGCTAGTGAGAAGAGAGAACTTCTTTTACTCCTTCTAGAAATCTGTTCAGCGTTAATGTATTTGAGGCCAATAAACATAGTCGGAGCAGATTATAATTTAGCCAGCAAGTTTGAGCATATAGAAAAATGAAGTATGTTCTTTCTGGACTGCAGATGATGTGACATTGGGCAGTAGCGATATTTCTTTTCTAATCATTCAAAATCATATTCTGTAAAGAAGGCTTTTAAAACTGTGTTCCCAGTTAATGAGAAGATGTGGGAATTGGCAGTAAGCAATTAAGTTATAAAAATACATCATGTCTTTTAAAGGCAGAGCTTTTTTTCTCTCTACTGGTAATATCACAGTTATAGCATCATTGGCGTAGTGTAGGGTGTGAAGGTACGTTAAAGACGTTTTAATGACTAGCTAGTAAAAACCGTCTTCATCCTTGCGGAGTATCCTACCTTGAATTTGACCATGCCATAGAGGTGAGTTTGCTATCCTTTATTATTTACAGCTCTTAATTTGTGTGTGTTAAGAAAACTGGGATTTTAGTTTATCGCGCAATTTAGGTTAGCTTTTCTCTGCTTAGAATTGTTTGAAAAACTAACAGTCCCTCAAGATCAAAAGAGAGAAAATATCGTACCTTTACCCATCTCAGGACATGTTACAGTCTTTCCACAAAACCAAGATTGCTATGTAGGACTTAGGTTTAAAATCACATTTTTAAAAACCCTCATGTCTTCACCGCACAGCTGAGGTGCAGCTTGTCCATGACAAACAAGCACGATGCACAGACAGTTCTGAGAACCGAGTAGGTTGGAAAAGTGAATTCACTGCACGGAATGTGGCAGCTTTAAAGAGCTGGGCTCAGTGGTTGGCAAGGCTGCAATGGTTTGGCGGGATTAAATGCAACGATGCTTGCCAGAAGAGGGGATTTTATAATGCCCCACCTCTACATCACATTTGAGATCCGAGGAAACTATTTTTTTATGTCAGCAGGTCTTTGATTAGGCTGGCGAGAAGCTTAGGGAATTGTGAGGGCTGGGAATGTTAACTAATGCTTGAAGGTTTACAACCTCTGTATGTGGGAAATCTGCTACGGTGTGCCGTTTAAAATAATGGTGTGGACTTTTGTGTGATTTGTCTGAGGCCCATCTCTCACACGAGATGACAAATGCCTCACGGGTGTATAATATGTTCACCATTTTGATAGAGGGTATTCTCTGGGATGTGGGAAAGAAGAAGAAGAAGACTTGTGATTTTCTCTCTCTCTCTCTCTTTCCATAGCGAGCAGAAGGAAACCTGTCGTATGGGTGATAGGCACCAGACCTCTTGCTTGAATTGCCTTTAGATACTGTAATACCTTGACTGATTAATGCTAAATTAGAAATGACTTTGGCATGATCATAGTACTTTTGGTTCCTAATTTTGAGGTGCCTTCCACAAAAGCAAATCACAGTAAAAATAGGAGACCCTGATCTTTGCACAATGCTTCCTGACCCATCTCCACATCTTTTTGTAGAAGATCTGTTGCAACCATTATCTTGTTCTTTCTTTATCATGTGTTATTTTAAAGATGCAAAATGCAGGCATTGCATTTAATGTATTATGTAAATACGAGACTTTTTAACAAAATTTAAATGAAGCTGTTCACATGCTAATAATTTAGCCACATGAAAGTTTATTTGGTGGGTTGGGGGAGGAAGGCAGTTGTGTTGTCTTATCAGAGTTGAATGGAAATGGTTCCATAAATGTTGCTGTTATTATTATTATTTTTGGTGTAACTCTTCTGTTTTTTATAAAGATGCCAGTAAGTCAATACATGTATCTTGACCTGTGTATTATTTGTTCTGGAACTTCGGAAGCATACATTTGGTATAGATGTTTAGCCAGTGACCACTGTATGTGGAAACTTTTTCTCTTATAGAGATAACTTTCATTTAATTTGGCAACATTTTCTAGGTCAGTTTAGTTTTTATACCCATGCCAATGAAAAAGTGTAGTCAAGTTATGTGTGATGCTGAAGTATTCATGACTTTATAGTTCAAAGTTAAATGGCCTCTATGGTATTCATTAATTCATGTATTTTTTAACATTCATTTTGGACAAGGTTGGATAATTTTAATTTGATAAGAAATTAAAGGTAATCTGCATAATGGTGTTTTTGTCCAAGCTAAAATGAGGGTGATTTTCTCTTGGTTCAGCTATCGTGGGAAGATTACAGAAAATCTTCCCTATATAAGAATTGTTTTTTACACTTCTTCAGATTTTCAAAAGTTGTTTTGAAATGTTGGTCATAAAACAGAGATGTTCAGCAGAAGTCAAATTTATAATTATTAGAAATAAATATATTTCTAGTGCTAGGACCTTAAAGCCTACAGAAATAGTTAGAGTGTATGGAGGTGGATGTACCAATTATTTGTAGTTTGTATCAAACTAGATCGAACAGTTGAACTACCTAATGACCAAGTATTGGCTTTTAGATAGCAGCCTCTAGGTGCTAGTATGAATTATGTGGCAAGACCACTATTGAAGAGACCTAGTGTGAGTTACATATCAGTGAAGGCTTATATATATCAAATTAGAGTGAGTTGATCAGCTTTATGGGGAAATGCCAGCATAAGATGACATTTCTTCTTCATTCTTCCGTGGTTTCTTGTTCTTCCAAATATGGCCCAAATGGTGAAATTATGGGATTGCTGTATTCCTTTTCAGTGACTACTTTAAAAGGTACAGTGAATGTTTCATTACCAAGAGGGCTCACACACTGAACGTAGAAACCACAGAAGAAATGAAAAGGCAATGTTACCTTGTGGTGACACTTTTCAAAGTAAGAATTGATACTAGGAACTCTTCAGAGTTGATCCAAAGGAGTTTTGGCAGCTTAATGACTCTTGATATTAACGTTGCAGAAACTTTTAGCTGACATCAGGAAGTCAAATTAATTACACCATCTATGGGATACATCTTAGAAGTTAGTTCACTTATACTAAATATTTATTTGATATACTCCTGTTTCAGTTTTCATGATTCTATTCATGAACTGTATAGCTTTACTTGGTGCTACTTCTTAGAACTTTTTGTGGATGTTCCCTAGTATTAGAAAAACTAATGAGGTGTGTTTTCTTATCCATAACTTTTCAGGTAGGCTCTTAGTATCACAGGCATTATCCTTTCATTAACTAGGCTGTCAGTCTAGCATACTTATGGAGGGGAAATGCTCTTGTTCGCTTTTTTCCTTTGATTGCCTGCTTATAAACTTTCTCACTGTCTTCTAGGCTTTATTTTGCAGCAGCCATTTTGGAGAAAAGGAAGGGTTGGAGAATTCTTTTAACTGGCATCCAAGATGGTGCAAATGGCTTTTAAAGCCATAACATACCTCTGAGTTGCTAACTGGTTGAGGTGTATCTACATTAAGGTCACCATTAAATAGCAAAGATCCATACTGTTTACCAAAGTATTGCAAAACTATTTTAAATCCTAAGGATTTTGTGTAAGGTTATTTGTAACCTTTTTTTTAATCATATACATTTAATAACTTATTACTGATTATGAGCCTTGGGCCCTAATGTACAGAACATTGATTCATATTGGATCTCATGTATGCCATCTTTTGGTATAAATCTGGTTGGGAAGGATCATTTTTTAATTGTGTTATTCGAAGGATATATTCCCCAGTTTCCATACTCATCTTTGGTAATGCTACCCCTCTTCATATTATGTGAGATCTTTGGTTGGGAATGTCAGGATAAAAAACAATAAAACTCAATGTTGCCCTTTGCTATTGGTTTAAAAACATAGCTCACAAAAAGAAGACAATGTGTTAACCTTTCCTCAAGGGAGAAAGTTCTTAATGAAAAATCTTTAATGCACTCTGGCAAACGGGTAAGCAGGATCCCCAAAACCAATAATGTTAAATAGATCATCTAGTTGAATGTTGTTGTTTTTTAATTTGGTAATATAGAAAATGTGTTTCTTCAGAGAAATTATTGTTAATTAGGATAAAATTGTATGGTTATCTGCTGGATGTATATGCATAATACTGATCTTTTCTGTGAAGCAGGTTTGTTTCCTCTCCCATTTTATGTAACTGAAAATGAAGATTTACTTTTAAGTAACTGTATAATTTTCCTTTCAGATATAGGGAAAGGAATTGATTCCTGACTCTTTTCCAGAGCTTGACCTTGAAATGAATACTTTTTTTTTTTTTTAACAGGTGGAACCACTATGTCAGACCCATTCCTTTACAGGAGATCTTCGAGTTTTCATATCTCATTCAATTTTAGCATTGCTCTAGTTTTTTGGTGTTTTTTTTTTTGCTCAGTAGTTGTCTTAATTTTAAATCATGTTTATGGCGCTTTTCCGGTCATGATTTTTCATTCATTGTCCCTCTGTACCAAACTGTTATAAGGGTTAATCAAGCCATCCAGGGAACGTCCCTTTCAGGTCCCAATGTTCTACTGCCTTTGACCCAACTCTTTCCTATCTCTTTCTTCAGTGTGATGACACTCTCCATCTTTGTTCCCTCTTTGCAGCTTGTTTTCTTTTTTAGGGAGAAAAATAGAACCCAATAAATTAAATTGTCTGTTGGGTCCTTATTGGGCTAAGAAAATTATTTAGGACCTTGGGGCATAATTCTGATATGTGATTAGCATGGCATAAAGCAGGAACATGCAGCTTCTGTCATTTCAAGGGCTTTTCTAGGGTTTGCACAGTTCATTGAGGGCTACACTCCAAAAGTGGCCAGGGAGAGGGAGAGGGCAGTTTCAAAACTATAAGAAGGGAAAGGTGTATGTTGACCATTTACAACCCTCTCCCCATCTGAAAAAAAACATAAAGGAGGGCATTTTTTTACCCTCATCATTGCTATATGACTTCATGAGAGGTAAGCATAGCCCTCCTGCCCCTCATTTGACTGTGCTCCAATTGTCATTGTTGACCCACAGTGCTATATTGCAGGCCAGTCATTCAGTTTAGTACTAGAGTGTCCTGTGCCTCATGTTGAAATACTCAATCTTCTTTCCCCTTTACCTCCTGCTTCTCTAGGTCTGGGATAAAGAGATCTTTTACTGTTTCATCTTGCAGCATAAAGATTTTTGCATTCAAATAAATTATTTTACTACAGCGTAGCAGGCCAGAAAGGCAGGTAGAACAGAACAGTACTACCGCCTGACTTCTCAGAGGCACTAAACCTACCTCAAAATATCTGGAATCAGAGCTGCACTCTTGGATTCTGTTCTTTCAGCAAATCATGAAGTCACATTCAGAAGAATTAGTAGTCTATGTCTAGCATAGATAACTTGCAGCTATCCAGTCTAGATACGTTGGGATTATAACATTTGAGAACTATAATCCCGACACATCTAGAAGATGCCAGATTGAGAAAGGCTGTTCTTAGGGATCCACCTCTTTATACCAAACCCTGACACAGAATCCATCAAGTTCTGTGACTGCTGTCTTTAACATCAGTGGCCAGCAAATTGGGTGATTACTGCTAATCTTTCGTTTAGAAATCCACTGACTAGTTTCATTAATGGGGCACTACATACCAATATAGGGATATGCAAAATTTATCACATTTAGACCATTCCAGAGAATTCCAGAGTATTCTCTTTCCCTCCAGACCATGCCACACATCTAAACCATGATGTTCCTGTTTCTTCTGGAACATAATGTTTGGAACCCCTTGAACAGCTTCTGGCATGGAAGATTTATGTCTGAAAACCACAGAACTGCTCCCAGGGTCAGTGTGGTTCAGTGGAAAGCAGAACACACTGCAGTTCTCTGGAATGGTCCATTCCAGATAATGAATTTTGCACATACCAAAACTGAAGATGTTTCCTTGTGTGTGGACCTGAGTACTTGTAACTTCTTAACCTATACTAATATTTTTTCCTTTACAGGTTTTCTCCTTTTTTTAGGAGCAATTTGTGTTCTGGACAACTGGATAATCTATTTAATAAGAGTTTGTTTATGTGTATTTCTTATCCGTAAAGGAAAGTGGGACCCGTCACTGTTCCAGCAGAAACCCGTCTTACTAATCTTTTCCTTTTCTTTTTTTTTCCAGGCTTTTCTAGTTTTCTTTGAATTCAGTGGTAGTAATAGCTTGGTAATATTTCTCATGTAGCAGTAGTGTCAGACTTGTGAATCCTTGATTACTGTTACTGAGTGTGATCCTTCCTAACCTGTAACGTTGTGAAATACTGCATATGCCTATGTAGAATCAGAAATGCTGTTCAAACGTGTTCTGCTTCCATCTTGACTGTGAACCGTATGTTTGCTGGGACAAATGCAGTAAGATCTGTGTCATGCTACTGACTCAGTGGGGAGTGGGGTGGGTGGGGGTTGATTCTGGCCTCATGTTTGTGACAGCTACCCAAATAACTCTACAGCTCGTTTTGTGAGATGTAATCTTCGTGCATTTTTATGCCCAGTTTCTCTTCTCGCTTTCGAATGATTATCTACAGAGTTTGTTGTTATACTGCAGAAATCGCTTTACAGAGTTGTGATTCATGATTTTCAGCTGTCATGCTTATAAACTGATTCAGATAACTATGTTGTTCAACATACGCACTGTAATTGAAACGTGTAAATAAAAAGGGTTTCTTGTCATCTCTTGTTCCGTGGATTTTGTTGAACATCTTCTCAAACACGTGTTTTTTTTCTGATGTAAATATAGTGCACAGAAGCCGCTCTAGCATATTCCCAAGGCACTGAGCACAAAGTCATGGACTGCTGTATCCTTAAAGCTCTGAGGGGAAAGAAAGCAAATTAATTTTGTCTGAACGAAGGTATTCTGTCCATAGCCTCCCACTTGTTTTATTTAGCAACTTATACTCTCAACTGAAGTACTCTGAAGTAAACTACCAAGAACTGTATTTAGGAAAACTTGAATAGGATCAACGTAAAAATAATATAAAACAGCAGAACAATACAGCAATCTAGAAACAATATGAAAAAATAGAAAAATAATATAGAAATCAGCAAAATTCATAAGACTCACAGCTGAGGTAAGTACATCCACCAGTAACACTCAATACGGCCACCAAACTGGCTCTACCACACTCCTGGGTCCACATTCCCATTGGCAAAACCATGTTTACAGCATCTTTCGAAACGCCAGCTGGGTCGAGGCCAACCTGATCCTCAGGGCAGGTGCCATGGCAGAAAAGGCTCTCTTCCTGGGCCCCACCAGACGACTCTTCCTGGCTGAGATGGTTGTACAGGTAGTCCCCGCTTAACAACTGCACTGTTTAGCGACTGTTTGAAGTTACAACAGTACTGGAAAGATAACTTTACGACAGGTCCTTGCATTTATGGCTATCGCAGCAGTCCCACAGTCACATGATCACCATTCATATGCTTCACAGTATGCTGGTGTGCGTTTACGACTGTTGCAGTGTCCTGCGGTCACATGATCACCATTTGCGCACTTCACAGCCAGCTTCCAACAAGCAGAGTCGATGGAGAAGCCAGCAGTAAAATCTCAAGTCACAGTCATGTGATGTCTTGCTTAATGATCACATTGCTTAGCAAAGGAGTTGCCAGTTCTAATTGTGGTCATTAAGCAAGGACAACCTATACTCCCATTGGCACAAGCCCTAGTTAGGGATGGTCAGGTGTGATGAGATTTGCTATCCAGTAACATTTGGAGAGCTGTTGGTTGCCTGTCTCTGGCCTAGAGCTCTCTTGTTAGTGCCAGATAGGAAAGGAGAGAGCACATGGGAGGGGACAGGATTGAAAGCTCTGCTATCTAGGCCTGCAAGTATCCTGTCTTCAAGTCATCACCTATCTTCTAAACAACCCTGGAGGAAGTGGATTCTGGACCCTTTTCAGTTGGGTTTCAGACCTGGATATAGCACTGAGATGGCATTGGTTGCACTTGATGACCTTTAGTGGTACTTGGATGGGGACAGTGTATCCATCCTGGCCCTCATTGATCTCTCAGCAGTCTTTGATACCATCAGTCATGCAATCCCTCTAGATTGGCTCTGTGGATTGGGAGTGGAAAGCCCCGTGTTGCAGGAGTTCTCTTCCTTCCTTCAAGGCCAGTTCCAGTCAATGTTGCTAAGAGGGGAGAGCTCTAGCTCCAGTCCCCTGCTTTGCAGATCCAGAGAGTCATGAAAATGGCCTTGAGGGAAATATTCAGAAGCCATTACAAAAACAGAAGGGTCAGGAGCCTTTCTTAAGCTCTGGGAAAGGAGGTAGGATTAGGAAGAGACTCAGGCTGACTCCTCCCTGACTCACTGGGTTATAAGAGAGGGGAGGAAAAACAATCAGATTTGTTAATATATCTCAATAAAGCTTAGCTCTAGTCTTCTTGTGGAGTCTGTTTCCTGATCTGGACAATGTTGAAATGCTGATAATGGAGTACTTCAGGACTCAACTTTCTCCCCATTCCCATTTAACATCTACTGTGTGAGATTATTCATCAACATGGGGTGACATATCAGTATGCCCAACTATACATCTGTGCCCAGGTTCACCAAGTGATGCCATCAAGGCTTTTCCCCAGTGTCTGGAATTTCTGGGCATCTGGATAAGGAAGAACAGGCTCCAGCTCAGCCTTGGCAAGATGGAGTGGCTGTGGGTTTTGAGGTCTGAATCTGGAGACTTTTCATCCTTAACTTTGAATGGAGTGGCACTCCGCCAGATAGAGCTGGTGCACAATTAGGGGTACTCCTGGACTCACGGTTCCTGCTCAAGGAGCAAGTGGCAGTATAACCAAGAGGCCCTTTGCATAAATCCACCTTGTGCATCAATTGCACCCATTACTGGATTGGGGGGCACCATTCATGGTCACTCACACCTTACTCATCTTCCATTTGGACTACTGTAATGTGTTCTACATGGGGCTGCTCTTGAAGAGCATTCAGAAATTGCAAGTAGCCCCAAATACAGTGGTGCAGGTAGCTAGGGACATTTCATGATATACTCATATAATACCACTACTCTGTGAGATGCACTAATTTACAATGAGCTTCTAGGTGCAAGTCAAGGTGCTGGTTATCACCCATACATTGCACAGGGCCAAAGTATTTGCATCTCCCATTGCTTCTGCTCATCCCACCAGATCCAGCCTTGAGCATTCTCCAGGTCTCTTCTATTAAGCAGATGCCTTCTTCTGGGGCCCAGGAGATGTGCCTTCTCTAGCACGGCACCTGCCCTGTGGGACAGCATCCCCCCTAAGATTTGGATGGCCCTGGTCCTACTGGCTGTCCATAAGCCGTTAAAGACCTGGTTTTTCCCTCAGGCATTTGGGCTGAGATGTTGGGTGAGCCCTGTTGGTTGGTTCTATGTTGTTTGTCTATTTAGCATCAGTATGTAAGCTGTAAGGAACTATTTGGATCTCTGATGCATAGTATGTTGGTCGTTATCATAACTTCTTTTTTAACTATTCTAAGGTTTTTGCTGATCTGCTTTTTGGCTTTTTGTTTTTAATTCATAATCAGCAACCCAGAGCTGCAGCATGAGATAGGTGGCCATATATATTGTTTGCATGTGTGTATGTGTGTATATTTGTGTGTGTGTGGAGAGAGTGTATGTATATGTATTTGTCTGTCTGTCTGTCTGTCTGTCTGTCTGTCTGTCTGTCTGTCTATCTATCTATCTATCTATCTATCTATCTATCTATCTATCTATCTATCTATCTATCTATCTATCT